ATATATATATATATATACTGTATATATCTTGATATTAGATTTGTTATAATTATATTGCATATAATATTGACAACCCTCTCCTTTTCAATGATCTGGAAAATGTTTTTAAAAAATTTTTAATCTTTAGTTTGTGAACATGAGAGAGAAGAATTTTCTACAAACAAACAGGAAATAAAGAAAATGATAAAAAGACATGGAGGCAGCTGCTTACCAAAATAAAATAAAAAACATTTCTGAACTGGGAGCAAAATGAAATTTAAACACAGCAGACAGATTCTCAGAGACAAGGCTGCCTGTTGTTACAGTGACTGATCCACAGAGAACTGACGGCTAACACCACTCATCAATAATTAATACACTCCTTCACCCCCCCCCCCCTCACCCCCCCGTCCTCCTCCTCCAGTAAACAAGACCCAGTCTCTCCATCCTTGTTCACAACACAACCACTCATTATTCCCTCAGTCTGTTACCACAGGGACTTCAAAAGACGGCAGGATTACAGAGCAGAGAGCAACACACACACACACACACACACACACACACACACACACTGTACATAGCTGTGTTAAAGTTGAGTGTGAGCAGTCCGCTCTTTGAAGCTGTGAGCGGCGACAGAGACGAGTTCAACGTTACAGAACTCAACATTTAAACAGTCGATCGCGTCATGTGACCTCAGTGTACCTGCAGCACAGAGACGAGCCAGGTGAGGCCCCGACACGTCCGACTGCAAAAAGTCTTATGAACTTAACAGAAAGACAGGATCTGCTCACAAACTTCAAAATAAAATCTATTTATCTCATTTATTTTGGGTTAAAAATAAAAGCTGTAAAAGTTTTTGATCTTCTGTGTCTGGAGCTGAATTCCATGCTTTACATGTTTATCTCAGTTATTTCATCCTTATTTATGTTTCATAAATATATTAATGTGTTGTTTATTTATTACAACCATATTGGAATTACTGTTTCTTATTTTTCTCTCTCTTTCTGTCTGCACTCTGACCTCGCAGCAGCTGCTTGATGTCCTTGCTGGCGTGTGACGTGGTGAACTGGTTGACGATGTCCAGCGCCGTCTGGTTGTAGGTGTTCCTGATGTTCACGTCCACGCCGGCCTGGAGACAGGAGACACGGGACAACAGCGTTTACTGCCTCTGATGTAAAACATCTGAAAACATGCAGTTTCCTCTTCAGGGTTTTTTTAAAGATTGATCTGAAGTTGCGTCAGCGCCGAGCTGAAATGGGAACGCCGCTGCAGGGAGAAGGAAGGATGAATGGAGCAACGTCACTGTGGGAAAATAAGCGTGTGACACGACAACACAAGAAGTCAACACAACCCAGTTAAAATGGTCGTGAGGAAAACAAAACTTTCCCTCATTTAATGTGACTGACAGGAGGAAAAGAAAAAGCACAACAACCTGGTTCAGATGTGCACACGCTCTTATAACTGAGGATGTGTTCATCAACCAATCAGATTCAAACTTATGTTAAACAGTCGTTAGTGAACACCTGACATCAATTACAATGACTCTGATTAGAGTTCAGCTCTTCCTGTAGGTGTATAGACTTCAGTGTCAGGTGTGTGTTTTCTGCTTCTCACTGTAACAAACCTGAACACACACATTAAACCTGAAGACACACATCAGACCTGAACACACATCACACCTGAACACACACATTAGACCTGAACACACACATTAGACCTGAAGACACACATTAGACCTGAACACACACATTAGACCTGAACACACATCACACCTGAACACACACATTAGACCTGAACACACACATCACACCTGAACACACACATTAGACCTGAACACGCACATTAGACCTGAAGACACACATTAGAACTGAACACACACATTAGAGCTGAACACACACATTAGACCTGAACACACACATTAGACCTGAAGACACACATTAGACCTGAACACACACATTAGACCTGAACACACACATTAGACCTGAACACACACATCACACCTGAACACACACATTAGACCTGAACACGCACATTAGACCTGAACACACACATTAGACCTGAAGACACACATCAGACCTGAACACACAGGACAGCGGCTTCTCACCACTGACCAGACTTAAAGCACCAGTCACTTACGTCCAGCAGCAGCCGCACCACCTCCGTCTTCCCGTACAGAGACGCCTCGTGCAGAGCCGTTCCAGACTTGGTGGTCTTGTTGATGTCGATGCCGGCCTTCAGCAGCAGCCTGGAACAAACAGAGAGACACGTCTATCAGACTGTTGTTACTGACCAGTTCTCCATCCTCTAACAGCTCCTTCCTGCAGGATCAGGCTCCATGTCACCAACATCAACCTGACAGTGAGTTCAGTGACCCCCCGACCCCCCGACCCCCCCCGCCCCGACCCCCCAGTCTCCAGACCTGAATCCAGTGTGGTGTTCCTAATAAAGTGATCAGTGAACATTGCTCCTGAGTTATTCATGAATGCAGCTCTGGTTCATTTGCATGTCTCTCCTGCGACTCCAGAAACATATTATACAGCAGGTTCATGCTCAAGTCTGAAATGCTGACTGTTGGCTTCCACTGTACACACACACACACACGCACGCACGCACACACACACGCACACACACACACACACACACACACACACACACACACACAGAGAGAGAGAGACACACATGAAACAAGGATAAAAGCCTTTTAAAACTGGGTCACAGGGATGTTGTATTTCAGATCTCTGCTGCTGGGAATGTGAAGACACAGCCTCACACACACACACACACACACACACACACACACACACACACACAAACACACACACACACAGAGTTCATGCTCCCACATCCCCCATGTAAACGTGCCGGCTCAGTGGTTACGAGCCACAAACCACAGGAGCCCCGCCCTCTGCTGAAACATGTACAGACAGAGAATCACACTGAGAATCAACAGTCAGTCAACAGTCAGTCACTCTGACAGGAAACACTGACTGTCTCACGTCTGCAGACAGTGACTGATACATGAGCTCCGTCATGTGGACTCACGTCCTGGTTGATTAGACATGAATCTCTGTTCAATCAATTCGTTTACAGTCAAATGGAAGTTAAAGGAGCTATAGGTAAGTGTTGCTATTGGTACGTAGCTAATGTTAGCATTAGCAGCTGTCTAGAAGAAACGTTGTGAGTTCAGCATCAAACTTCATTCCTTTACTCACTAACAGCTGTCTCCAGATGTGAAAAACAAACATCAATGTTCACTCTTGTTTTTCTTTTATTTCTATCACTTCTTTTCTTCACTGAAGTTAGCATGCTAACCAGTTAGCTCCGGCCCAGTTTGCCCTGAAGACGTCGATGCTCAGAGGACGTATTATAACCTCTTGTCTTGTAAACACGACGATGGCTGAAGCTCTGTTGATTAACATCTGTTAATGCTAACATTAACTATGTAGCAATAGCAAAACTTACAAACAGCTCCTTTAAAGTTAGAGATAAATAACTGAGTGTTTGGTTTAGTTTCAGCTGTATTTACAGGACTCTAATAGACCGTGTGATGTTCACATTAAATACTTTAACCAACCTCTAACATGACTTTAGATGTTTGTTAGAACGTCTTGTCTTTGCTTAATCACAGACTGTAAATAAAGACGGACGTCAGCTCTCTGACATCACCCACAGGTTTCTGAAGCTCAGAGTGAGCTGCTCCACCGTCGCCATCTTGGCATTGTCTGACTCCGCCCCTAACTCTCAGCTAATAGTCAAAAATGAGGGGCGTGTGTGGAGCTGAGACTTCGGTGCATGACGGTTTGTGGCAAGCACACGCCCACCCACCTGTCACTCAAAGATGCCACACCCTCAACTCTACATAACTTTTGACTGATGACGAGGCGACACAGAGTCACGTGACTGTTTCTTACCGTATGATGTCTTTATGGCCATTCCGGGCGGCGAGGTGCAGCGGGGTGGTGAAGGCGGAGTCTGTCGGCTCCTTCCTCTCTCCCTCCAACAACGCCACCACCATGTTACTGCTCAGCAACAGCTGGGCCACCTGAGAGGGGGAGGAGGAGGAGGAGGAGGAGGAGGAGAGAGGATAAGATGAGGCCAGTGATGAGACAAAGCTGCAACTGCTGCAAAAAACAAACACACACACACTGAAGGTCTGGTTGTCGTCTTTGTTTTGTTTTGTGAGTTTGTTAAACGAGACGTGAAAGTGAAGCCTGATCCCTGCACTGTTGATCCAAACTTCACTGAGATATCTTTAGAGTGTGTGTGTGTGTGTGTGTGTGTGTGTGTTGAAGCCTCAGCTGCTGTGTTGACCACAGCTGCTGTGTTTCCATTCAGCTCTCTCTCTGTTTCACCTCCTCCTCTTCTTAAAGACCCTCTGATGAAAATCAAGTGTTTCACCTCGTTAACGTCCACATGATGTTTTTATATAACACAGACACATGATGATGAAATAATCACCAACACCGTGACTGAGTGTTTCCACCAGACAGCCCAGGGTTTCATACGTCACAAACCTAAGGAACCAATCCTGTCAGCTTGTGGGGACGGGGGGCGGGGCTAAATACATCTGAAACCTTGTTAGCACAGAGAGACAGAGTTAGCATTAGCACAACTGCTAACACTGTGACACTGTGTTGGTTACTGCCAATTACAAGTTAACAACTGTGCTAACCGTTCAGAGAAGATGCTAACAAGTTAACTCTTCTGAAAAGATGCTAACTAGCTAACGGTTCTGACCCGTCTGCTAGTCTCTGGTTCTGGTCTCAGACTCCTCCTCTGAGTCTGGGTCTGACTGAGTCTCTCTGATGTTTCCTCCTCTCACCATCTTGATGCTCTCTGCTCTTTCACCTGTCCACCTGGAGCCAGCAGGTGGTGGGGGCGGGGCTCAAGGCCTGATCCAGGTTTCTCAACCAGGAAGTGAGAGGAGACGAGCTTCAGCGGTGTAAACATGCTGTTTGTTACAGAGACACATTATTATAGTTTGAGTCTTTGTTGTGAAACTTCTGCCACTGACGATTCATTTAACGATTATTTTATTTATTGATTCATCTGCTGATTGAATCAATTCGTGTCTTGTTTCGACTCGCAGTCAAAGATCTTCAGTTGACTGAGACGTGAATCTTCACAGCTCAGAGGCCGGAAACAACTTTATTAAAGTAGTTTCTTGTTTGTTGCTGCTGAACATTAAAATACAAAATGAGGATCATTTGATTTTTAATCTTCTTAATCTTTTTCTTCTTCTGTTTGATGACTGAAGTTTAAAAATATCAAACTTTAAAAAGAGATTATTATTATAAAACTTAGAACTAAGCAGATGTGATCAGACGGAAAACTCATCAAATAAATCAATAAGTAATGACAGAGGATTTAAACGAAAAGAAATTCTGATAAAAGATAAAACAGATAAAACAGTTTATCCAGAATCTCAGCAGCTTCAAACTGAGAAACATCTTCATTTATTGATCCCATCAGAAGTTTCTCTGTTGTGATCAGGTGAATCGATGTAACGACTGACACCTCGTTAACTCATTAACTCGTTAAACAGAAACAGTGAAAGTTTCTCTCAGTTTTTCTCCCTGACGTGAACCGGAGCTTCCAGCTGTGACTCGCTGCCAAACATCTGGATTCATTCATGCAGTTTTGGGTCATTGAGGTATGACCTCATACTCACCTGCAGGTCTCTGAGAGTGTGCGTGTGTGTGTGTGTGTGTGTGTGTCGTCTCGACCTGACTTGTGTCTCGTCTCCATAGTAACAGTAACAACCTGCAGACTCACCTTGACTCGTCCGAACTCACAGGCCAGGTCCAGAGGCGTCTTCTTGGCCTTGTTGACCAGACAGGGGTTGGACTGATGCTGCAGCAGCATCTCAGACTGAGACACAAACAACAGTCTGAGGTTAATGACGAGTGATCACGATTCACTAATCAGTATTGATTAGTATTGATCAGTGCTGACAATTGAACTCACCACTTCATAGTGTCCATACTGAGCGGCCAGGTGCAGCGGAATATGTCCGTCCAGAGAGACGCCGTTGACCGAGGCGCCGGAGCGCAGCAGCATCAGGACAGACTCCGCCTTCCCCTGCCAGGCCGCGTAGTGCAGAGGACGCATCCCTGCACGCGCACACACACACACAAGCGCGCACACACACACACAGGTCATGTGACTGGACGGTCAGTGACTTCAGCACCAACATCTGTTTCCATGACGTTGTTTCCTGCTCATGTTCTCAGTCTGACCTGTGTGATATTCTGTGTAGCAGCATTATTACAGTACGTTTAATTATTTATTTATCTGTAAACATTTTTGTTTTCATGAAATATCCAGAAGAAGAAAGTCTTGATCAGGCAATTGTTGGGGACTATTTTCAGCGGCGGATTAATCCGTGCTGTAGTGTGTATGTGTGACAGCAGGACGATGTGTGTGTGTGTGTGTGTGTGTGTGTGTGTGTGTCTAACCATTGCTGTCCTTGATGTCCACAGTGGCCTGAGCCTCCAGCAGCGCAGTCAGGAGCTCTGTGGTCCCTGTGAGAGCAGCGTGGTGCAGGGCCGAGAACCTGAGAGAGAGAGGTCAAAGGTCACAGAGAGAGAGAGAGGGAGAGAGAGAGAGAGAGAGACGATTAAGAAACATGGCACCAGAAACACACCACATCACACTGTGTCTGCTGAGGGTTTAACAGCAGTCCTCACGAGACTGTAAACAACACACACACACACACACAAACACACACACACACACACACACACACACACACACACACACACACACACACACACACACACACACACACACCAACATTTACAGACACAATTATCTTATTAAACATCAGCGTGTTGGGTTTTAACTGGCGCCCACAGACGGAGTCAGACAGACATGTTGATCAGTCAACGTTCAGACCCTTCGTTTTTCTTTTCAAACAAAACTAGAACCACCTCCTCATGGTCGTATCCCTCCGCCGCTTAGACTAGTTCCAGGTCACTTCCTGTTTATCAGAGTCAGAGAGAATATGAACCTTTGGTTCGAAGTCTTTGAGTAATGGCTAAAAAGTATTTTCTGAGGTCACCGTGACCTTTGACCTTTGACCACTGAAGTCTAATCAGTTCATCCTTGAGTCCAGGTGAGTGTTTGTGCCAGATTTGAAGAAGCTCCATCGAGGTGTCTCTGAGACGTCGTGTCCACGAGAACGAGGCGGACGGACGACCTGAAAACAAAATGGCTGCCGCTCTGACTGTTAACAGCTGTTAAAGATTAGCCACTTTATCCTCTTGGCTTTTATTTTGAAAAATGTACCTTTACTTATTGACTACATTTCTTCATTCTTCGATTCAACGAGGAAACATGAAAGAAAAGGAATTTACACACAGCAGAGTTCCTTCCTTCTGATTTGATTTTCTTGTTTTTGTTTTTTTAATTCTGAAAACAAAAAGAGAAAACAGAAGAAGTGTTTTTAGTTTGAAATGAAAACGCAGACCCAGGAAGTATTTTGTCCAGCTAACGTTGACGTGACAACCTCCTGCTAACAGTCAGATTCTTCTTCCTCCTGATGGTGACGTCACAGTCTGAGGCTCAGGTGTCAGCTCACCTGTATAAATAGATGAAGCTGTGATCACAGGAAGTGAAGGAGTCAGAGGCGAGAGGAACCTGCAGCTGCTTCTTCAGAACATACACAACACACACGCACACACACACACACACGCACACACGTGTCCGTCATCACGGCAACAACCCATCAACAACCCACTTTACTTCTGCTTTTACTCTTATCATTTTATCTCCAACCTTCAGCGTTTTCTCACTTCCTGTTTTCACAGTTTTATTTCTTATGTTTTTTAATTATATTTCATGTCATGTGTCGCTCTGTGGGTGGGGGGGTGGAGGGGGGGGGGGGGGGGTGATTGATTATGAGTTTGTGTTTTCTGCTTCACGTTGATGTTTGTTCTGTAAATGGTGATACACAGGAAGGAAGTAGCTCAGGAGATCAGCTGAAGTGTGTGTACAGGAGGTGGAGGCTGCCAGATGTTACAGATGTTACAGATGTTGCAGATGTTACAGTCGGTCGCAGGAGCAGCTCCAGTCACACACTGATCCAGCAGCTGTAGTTTTCCACAGAGGGCGTGGCTGATGTTCCCAGGTGTTGTGGTTCACCTGTCGCTGCAGGTCCACGTCTGACTCACAGCAACACAATGATCTGACACAGCGGCGAGTCCAGACACACACACACACACACACACACACACACACACACACACACATCACTCTGTTCATCAGAAACAGGCGGAGGTCTGAATGATTTATTCTTCTGTTCAGAGTTCGGATTTCTTTAATTTAATTGTTTTTTCTTCCTCCGCCCGGCGACAGTCGGAGCGGCAGCCATTTTGTTTTCAGGTTGTCCGTCTGTCTCGTTGTCGTGGACACGATCTCACAGAAACACTTTGACAGAACTTCTTCTGATTTGGTAAAAACATTCACCTGAACTCAGAGATGAAGTGATTAGATTTTGGTCGTCAAAGGTCAAAGGTCAAGGTCAGTGTGACCTCACAAGACACTTTTTATCCATTACTCAAAACTTCACACAGATGCTTCATATTTTCTGTGACTCTGATAAACAGGATGTGACCTGGAACTAGTCTGAGTGGCGGAGGGATACGACCCCGAGGAGGTGGTTCTAGTTTTATGATAATATTCTCTTTTGTTGGTCATTTGTTTCTTTATATCATTTGCTGATTGGGCGTAGTTAAAGTTAACTAGTTAAGGTTAACTAGTATTTTGTTCATCAGGGTAACGTTGAGGAGCGGTGGTGAACACAGTCAGCAGGTTCTGGTTCAGGCCTGCTCCAGTTGTCTCTGCAGTTTCTCCAGAGTTTCCACTTCCTCTGTTTTCTCTCATCCTAAACTGATGACCTTTGACCTTTGAGCTGTGACCTGTTGACGGCACAGAACAGGACGTGTGAGGATGTTGCTGTGGGCTTTCAGCAACTCTGACCATCGTTTTAGAGACTCAAAGATTCATCAGGTTGAAAATGTAATTAAGAATCCAACCTCAAAGGACACACACACACACACACACACACACACACACACACACACACACACACACACACACACACACACACGTGCAGCACAGAGAGGAAACACAGCTACAGGCTACATGTGTCTGTAAACAACAAACCAAGCAGAGACATTAGAGAGAGAAGAAAGAAGAGATGAATAGAGACGGGGGGGGGGGGGGGGCGGGGGGGGAATGTTTTTAGTGCCTCTTCTCTCTGTTGCGTAATGTGAGCGACTGGCGTTCAAGTAAGAGACAGAGTCTGGAAGGCTGTAATGGCTTCACTGAGAGGTTACACAGAGAATGGGAGGAGGAGCAGGAGGAGAGGAGTAATCAGGAGGAGGAGAGGAGGGAGGAGGGGGGAGTTAGAGAGGAGGAGGAGGAGGAAAGGAAGGAGGAGAGGAGGAGGAAGGACGGAGGAGAGGAAGGAAGAAGAGGAGGGGCAGGAAGAGGAGCGAGGAAGAGAGGAGAGAAGAGGAGGAGGAAGAAGTGAGAAGAGGAGAGAGGAGGCAAGAAGAGAGGGGGAGGAGAGATGACGAAGAGGAGAAGAGGAGGAAGAGGAGGAAGAGGAGAAGAGACGGAGAGAAGAGGACGGAGGAGGTAGGAGGACTAGAGAGGAGGAGGGAAGGAGGAGAGGAAGGAGGAAAGAGGAGGAGAGGAAGAGCAGGAGGAAGGAAGAGGAGGAGGGGCGAGGAAGGAAGAGAGGAAGAAGGAGAAGGACGGGGAAGAAGGAGGAAGAGGAGGAAGAGAGGGAGGAGGAGGAGGGGTAGAGGAACAGAGGAGAAGAGGGCGGAGGAGAGGAGGAGGAGAAAGAGGAGGAAAGGGAGGGAGGAAGAAGAGGAGGAGGAGAGAGAGGAGACGGGAGGAGGGAGGAAGACGGCGGGCAGGAGGAGGGGGGAAAAGAGGAGGGAGGATGGAAAGGTGGAGGAAGAGAGAAGAGGCAAGAGGAGGAGGGAGCGGAGGAGGAAGGAAAGTG